CATACATAACATACATAACATACATAACATACATTACATACATTACATACATACATACATACATACATACATACATACATACATACATACATAGCACATAGCATACATAGCATACATAGCACATACATTAGCAATACATAGCATACATAGCATACATAGCATACATAGCATACATACATAGCATACATAGCACCATACATACATGATACATTACATACATTACATACATTACATACATTACATACATTACATACATTACATCCATTACATACATTACATACATTACATACATTACATACATTACATACATTACATACATTACATACATTACATACATTACATACTTTACATACATTACATACATTACATACATTACATACATTACATACATTACATACATTACATACATTACATACATTACATACATTACATACATTACATACATTACATACATTACATACATAACATACATAACATACATAACATACATAACATACATAACATACATAACATACATAACATACATAACATACATAACATACATAACATACATAACATACATACCATACATAACATACATACCATACATACCATACATACCATACATACCATACATAACATACATACCATACATACATACATACATACATACATACATACATACATACATACATACATACATACATACATACATGCATACATGCATACATGCATACATGCATACATAGCATACATTGCATACATTGCATACATTGCATACATTGCATACATTGCATACATTGCATACATTGCATACATTGCATACATTGCATACATTGCATACATTGCATACATTGCATACATTGCATACATTGCATACATAGCATACATAGCATACATAGCATACATAGCATACATAGCATACATAGCATACATAGCATACATAGCATACATAGCATACATAGCATACATAGCATACATAGCATACATAGCATACATAGCATACATAGCATACATAGCATACATAACATACATAAAATACATAACATACATAACATACATAACATACATAACATACATAACATACATAACATACATTGCATACATAACATACATTGCATACATTACATACATTACATACATTACATACATTACAGACATTACATACATTACATACATTACATACACATACAAACATACATAACATACATAACATACATAACATACATAACATACATAACATACATAACATACATAACATACATAACATACATAACATACATAATATACATAACATACATAACATACATAACATACATAACATACATAACATACATAACATACATAACATACATAACATACATAACATACATAACATACATACATACATTAATACATTACATACATTACATACATTACATACATACATACATTACATACATACATACATACATACATACATAGATACATGCCTATACCTACCAACCTACGTAGGTACATACATACTACACCCAACTCACCCCACAGGGGGGGGGGCGGGGAAGCAGAGATACCTTGCATGATAGTTGGATTCCAGGGAGATAGTATACCAACCCTAGGAACCATCACCATCGCAGGGGGGGGGGGGGGAGGGGGGGGAGTGGGGGGGGTTGCAGGCCTGTACCATATATATATATATACATAGAGAGAGATGGTTACACCACATCATCATCATCATCATCATCATCAGTGCTTGGGTTGCTGGCCACTGCTGCTCAAATCGAACTTGAGTTGGATCAAAGGAGTCCTTCAAACACCAACATTGAAGGGAACCTGCCTTTGTCTTTCATGCTCTTTGTGAACATTCAAAAAACAGGCAGTCTCTCTCCATCGCCAGTCTTGACAGCAGTGGTCACATCCATTTGGCAAAGGAGCAGCTGAAACATCTTTTAAATCATGTTTTCCCATGATTTAAACCATTGAGTTCTTGGTTGTTCCCATGTAGGAACTGCATCTCCAAACTGCTCCACAGTGTGTCTCCTGGTTGCGCATGCCATTTTTTAGCCGTTCCCATGCACCATTTTTGCGCAAGGCCTTTTGCAAGCCTCAAGGGTAAAGCTGCTGATTGTTCACTGCTATACTCTGCTATAAATACTGCGAACAATCAGCAAATTCCTTTCGGCAGCAACTGCAAGAGCATTTGAAAATCAAAACGCTGCGGTACTCTGAAGTGAAATCACGATCAAAACAGGGAGACTTTGGAAATTGCCTGGGTCTCTCTTCAGGTTGTCGAAGCGCCGCAAGAACCTTGGATGGGGTCTGAGCTGGCAGGCCTGACCGATGTCCACATCCCAATCTGTTCAGCCGGAGGCAAATATTGGCAAATTACAATAGTGTCCAATAATGTCCAGTGTCCATTTCAAATCAGCCAGCTCAACAAAATCCCTCTCTGCCAGGACCCCAAGCAAAACACTGTGAATCTCACATAGTTACACAGAACCGCTTTGCACTTTGCAATCTCTGCACTTCATCCCAAAGCCATGAACCGCATGACCCAAAGAGCCAACTGGGAGCTCCGGCCGCGCGGAGGTCTGACTAAACAGCTCCTCGTCTTTGGCGGTCAAGTGGACGCCTGCCACGGCGCAAACGGCTTTGGGAGAGGGTCGAGCAAGTGCCATTGAACATTGGGAGTACCATCGGCAAAACGTGCCTGTACACTTTGTGCTCACTATCACTATATCTCGCACTTTTTGTGGGTGCAGGGATTGCAGGGTGCAAGTACTGGTTGAAATTCTTGCATGCAAAAATGTAATCCCTTCCTCCTAATATACGTCTCCCCCGCCCCTAAATAATGAATCCTGTATTTACTGTTCGGGGGCAAAGTTTGTTTCTAATATCAAAAATCGATTAAATCAATAAAATCCAATATTAACCATAATTGACAAAACTAAAATGTCCGTGTTCAAAATCGATCAAATTCCTTTTTGAAATCTATGTAATCAAAATATAGGCAAACATTGAATTTCAAAGCTTTCCCCTAACAGCAAATTTAAAACCTTAATCAACAAATTTTGTTTTTGAAAAACTTAGCCAAATAACAAAACACCCCGGGGTTAACTAGCTTTTATTAGTAAGGGGTAGAACCTTCAAATTGGACCTTGATTTCGAAATTGTTTTCGACAGATTCTAAAGGGGATAACAAATCCAAAAGCATGCTGCTATATGCTGCCCTTAAATGACCCACATCTGGCAAATAGTGCAACCTTACGTGATACAGTGATACACTATCGTTGCATTGCTTCAAGTTTTAGTCAAGTACCTCCTGTTTGACCAGTGGGCAATGACTGCCAGGCATATCGTATACAGTATGCCAGAATGCCGCCTGCTGCGAATGAACAGGATGCAGCATCAATACCATCACATTCCATCTATCACCACCACCGCCTAAATCCTCTTCCCTCCATTCAAGGCTTCCAAAGGAAAAACCACATTGGCATTTTCTTGCCTAGAGTTTTTCTCGGCGGCGGTAGGGTCCGTGCAGCATTTGGCCCATGTGGGTTCACACCTGAGGGACCACAAGAAAATATGAACCGCGATGACCTGTGAGGCACCGTGATGAACTGTGAACTTGTCAATCTTTCCAAACTATATCAAATTATTCACAATATATATATATTATATTATATATATATACATATAATATATATATATATATATATATTATATAATATATATATATATACATATATAATATATATACAGTATATCAGCCGCTTAGGCTCTACAGTACCATCAAAAGCGTGACACCCCTGAGCTGTTCCACCCAAAAACTCGAAATTCGCAATGGCCTCAGCAAAGGCCGACATGCCATGACTGGAAAGAAACACCGACCACACAAATAATGACACCACATTCTTCAGCGATAGAATTTCTCCATTCCTATATAGCTCTAAATGCTTGAAACATCAAAAGAACATGACTATTTCTTTCCAATTCTCTCTCTCTCTCTCTCCATCGGAATTCAATTGCGTTCAATTTCTGTTGACATCTTGGAAGTCTTGGACCTTGACACAGCTTTTTATAGTCCAGCTTTGCTGAGCTTCCCCACATCGATTCTCTTGATGGAAGTGTCAGCCCTCACAGCTCCACCACGCTCCTGCAAGCTCCAAGATGGTCCAAGGGGCTGCCCAAACGGGCTTTCTACTGGATATATAGTGTATATATATATATATAATTGTGTATATACAATTCTAATTATACCTGGTGCATCAACAACCCACTTTTTTTAGGGTTGAAAATGAATTACAATGTTTTTCCTGGATATGTGTCAAATTACCGGGTTTTCTCGAAAAAACAATGTTTTTTGCAAACACCATGTTTTTTAATATGTCAATTATTATCATCAAGAAAATGATCGATCTTATAAGCATCATAAAACTATATAAGGATAAATTCAACCTAATATTCTGTAATTCCCCTTCTCGGTTCAATCAAAGAAGGCACAGACCACCGGAAACTTGTGTTCCCATTGGGTGATGAGGTAATATGATATAAAGTTTGGGGCCAGATCATGCCATCAAGTTTCAGAATACTAGAGACCAATAACATGTTCTAGGAGATCGACCTACATGAAGCGACATCCAACCCATAGCCCCAGCAAAGAGGAAGTCACTCATGAGTACATGCCTTATTTCTGACACCATCGCCCCGTTTCTTGCGACCGTACTGGTGTGATGAAAGCCATCTTCAACGCTGCTCACGCTGGAGCCCGGGGCCCCATTTTTCTCCAGAGGCAAGCATGGTTAGCCAGCAAGCTTCGGGAAGTTGATGCCTGCAAAGGGCCCTCGAATGGAATTCCAAGATCACAATGGGGGTAGTTGTCACAAAATCTTCGCCGAATCCTTGAAAGCAAATCAGAATCATAAAAAGATCATGGACATCAATGTGGTATATGATGGTTGTATGGGACACCCTTACATCTCACCTCTTACGCAGGCATTTTGGTTGGATAAAGGCTTCGTACAGGGTTGAGCTCGTAGAAAATGGACGTTGAAGGGCTTGCCAAAGAATGGGATGCCATAGAAGAAGTTCGTGAACGTCTGAGGGCCGGTAAGAAATTGTATGATCACCCCCTTGATCAAAAGTGGGCTGAACCTAACCGTGCCAATTGTGTAGCCAACGCGGCTGCTTTGAAACCAGTTCTTACTCGTCTTCGGGAAGATCCCAAGCATACCCTGCCGTACTTGGAGCCCTTGAGTGCGGAGATCATGGCTTTCTACAAGAAAGCCAAGGCAGTAGTTTCTGACGACAAAGTGATCTACAAGACTGCGGTGGAAACCAAGAAACTCGCAGGTTTCGTGAAAAGAAGATCCAATCCGACCCGTCAAGAGTTCACTAAGGAGGGTTGGGTTGGAATAGAATGTAAATTGTAAGGGGTCGATTCCAAAATTACTGAAGTAATATGCATGGCATAGAGGTAAAAGGCATACCACATATGGTTCCAATATATTCTATAACCATCGTCTTCTCCTTTCCCTGTCAGGACGTCAAGTTCCATGAGTTGCTGCTCCTGTATGACCCAAGTCTTAAGGACACAGGTTCATAAAATAGGGACAAACATATGACCAACCCAAGTTCATCTAAATTGATCTATTTTAAGAATCATTGAACTATCAATGAGTCCCACACTTGTGTTTTTTTGGTTACATGGTCTTGCCATGTTTTATTTGTACCCCACTGGCACTGGACCCTCTGACAGGAAACTATCGACAAGTTCATGGCAGCGAAGCTTTCCCGTGGTTCGTCATGTCCAGAGCCCCCGGATGATGATGACAACGGTGATGAGGAGGATCCCCAAACCCAAGAAGATTTTGCAGCTTTCCGAAAGTGGCTTGACTCTCAAGCGGGGGGTGAACCACAGCGGGATGACCACCCAAGCGCCGCTCCCGCTGCCGCCGAGCAGAAGGATCCAGCGGCAGCAGTGCCTGCACAGCCGGCGGGTGCAAGCAAGCCGCCACAGGATGTCTGTGCCAAGTGTGGGAAAGATCCTGCCAAGTGCACCTTGTTTGGTGAAAAGGGTTCCATGATACATTTTATATAATATATTACAGTACTTCTTTAAGGCTATAGATGGTTCTTCTTATTATTATTGTAATTTTGTAATTATCATATTTAAGGGGTATTGGTTGGAAAGAAAGAGACCGAGAGGAAAACAACCCACAAAGACTTCAAGAATCCTGTTGCCTTTTGGGTAGGGGCCACCAATTCACAAATCAAAGCGAACCAGTAAATCGACGAGTAAATGTTATATATTAGCTATATCAACTTCTGGGCCCCAAGATCGTCTCACCTCCAACCCTTTTGAGGCAAGTGCAAGATCATCGCTGATCTCCTTGCCCGCATTGCTGAGAAGAAGGAATCGTTCCTCGGATCTAGCGCGCTGTCACCCATGGGTTCCTTAAAAGATGGGTGATCCCCTTGTGGATTTGCTTATCCTATTCCCCAAGCAGTGTGTCCACACTGAGGGTCCTTGACTTGTGGTAAGAGTAAAGGCCGGTGCTTGATCACTTGATCAGGGTGCTCCAGCTGGGCTCGGGCATTTCACTTGTAAATTTCAATATAAAGATGTATAAAGTGGCTTTGTGAAATCTCCAAGTGCATTTCGGCTCGCACAAAGCGTGCGTCCCGGTTCTGGACCGCGGCATTTTACCTGAAAGTTGCTCTTGTGAAATCTCCAAGTGCATTTTAACTGCGCAGGCTCACACAAAGTGTGTGTCGGGGTCTTGTTCCACAGCTGGTCGGCGGCATTTTACTTGTAAATTTCCGTATAAAGTGGCTCTTGTAAAATCTCCAAGTGCAAGTGCATTTCCACTGCGCACGCTCGCACAAAGTGTGTTTCCCGCCTCTGGTCCGCGGCGTTTTACCTGCAAATTTCTGTATCAAGTGGCTTTTGTGAAATCTCCAAATGCATTTCCACTTCGCAGGCTCGCATAAAGTGTGTGTCGATGTCTTGGTCCACAGCTGGCCCGCGGAATTTTACTCGTAAGTTTCTGTAGCAAGTTGCTCTTGTGAAATCTCCAAGTGCATTTTAACTGCGCAGGCTCGCACAAAGTGTATGTCGGGGTCTTGGTCCACAGCTGGTCCGCGGCATTTTACTTGTAAATTTCCGTATAAAGTGGCTCTTGTAAAATATCCAAGTGCATTTCGACTGCGCATGTGCGTCCCGGCTCTGATCCGCGGCGTTTTGCCTGTAAATTTCTGTATCAAGTGGCTCTTGTAAAATCTCCAAATTGATCTCGACGGCGCACGCTCGCACAACGTGTGTTGTGTGTCGGGGTCTTGGTCCACAGCTGGTCCGCAGCATTTTACCCGTATTTTTTTTGTTACAAGGGCTCTTGTGAAACGTCCGAGTGCATTTCGATTGCGCAGGCTCGCTTGGGTCGCGGTCTTGGGATCCTCCTCTTCAACATTGTCCTCCTCAAAATCATCATCTTTCTCCTCCTCCTCCTCCTCCTCAACATCATCATTCTCAACATGATCATCTGCCTCCCCCTTAACATCATCATCCTCAACATCATCATCCTCCACCTCATCTTCCGCAACGTTATCATCCTTTTAATCGTCCTCCGAAGCCTCCTCAACATTCTCATCAACATCATCATCTTCCTCCTTCTCAACATCATCATCCTCAGCCTCATCTTCCGCAACATCATCTTCCGCGTTATCATCCTCATCCTCCTCAACATCATCACCCTCCACATCATCTTCCTCCACCTCCTCATCCTCCACATCATCCTCCTGCAACTCACCATCCTCAACATCACCATCATCCTCAACTAACATCATCGTCCGCAACATTGTCCTCCTCCTCCTCCTCATCGTCTTCTTCTTCATCATCATGCTCTCCACTTGTCATATATTATCCCCCCCACTCCCCCACACTGTTTAGGGTAGTGCATCATCTCCACTAGGTTGCACAAGCTGCCTTCGAGCAATGAGCTTGGCTCAGGCCTGATTGTTTTCAGAAACTATTCCAACATAAAAAATAACATGATTTGGAAGCGCCTTCAAGCATCCAATCCATTTAGTAGAACCGCTTGGGGATATAGGGGTGACATGGTGAAATCATCGCTATATTACAATCTGACTGAGTCTGACTGGGTCTTGTGTGTGTGTTTGATCATATACCGAAAAGAATGTTTTTCTATTCGGCACGGGCTGACCTTTTGTTAGCACCTTCCCCATTTGCCTTAGGACAAACTTCACAGTTGTTCTATATTGTCTCCCTTCTAGGTGGTCCTTCTGCAAGTTCACAACCTGCACCTTTTGCCCATGACTTTGACGAGACTTTGCCCATGGACATAGACGTGGTGGAGACAATTGACCTTGCTCCTGCCGAAGAACAATTTCAAGAGTCTCAGGTTGATACCTCCATGGACCTCCCTCCGGACTTTTTTGCCGTCCCGCCCGTGGGCAACAAGCCTGCAGATTCCAAGCCCGATGGCGAGCCAGGGATCACATCCGCCAAGGCGGGTGGTCACCAACAGCCCCCTTGACCAACAACAAAAAAAATAATGACTCTCCATGGCAGTAACCAGCTCTCCTTCATGACTCAACTTGACCATTCTTTGTTGGCTAGTCGCTAGTTGGTTTCACAGAAACCCTCCAGCCCTGATCATACAATCTGTTCGGCAGGTTTTGACCCGCCGAGAGCAGATTGAAATGAAAGAAGCCCAGGCCAAAGAGAAGGAGGAGAGGAAGGGTGGCACGGTCGCAAAGGCCAAGGCGAAGGCGAAGGTCACGGGAAAAGCGAAGGCAAAATCCAAGACGGAGAAGAGCACGGCGAGCACGGAGGAAGAGAAGAGCACGGAGGAAGAGGAGGTGCCAGCTGACAAACCTTCGACTGGGCTTGAGGACCTGGGGAGTGGAGACGACGAGGACATCCAGACACCCAAGAAGACTTTATTTGCTTCCGATGATGATGCAGATGATGCAGATGCTCAAGAGCCAAAGCCTAAGAGGCGCCGTGGTTCTTCAAAGCCGGCAGTCAAAGCCGCCAAGGGCAAGTCGACTGAGCCTGACGTGGAGCCAGTGGAGCCTGCGGAAGGTGAGAATGCCAAGAAGCCTCGCCGAGGCAAGAAGGCTGCAGCTGCGGATTCGAAGAACACCAAGACACCAACGAAACCGAGAGGCAGACCACCCAAGAACAGAAGTTCACCCAAGCTGAAAGCCACCCCGAAGCGTCGGAGCAAGATTGCTGAGCACAAGGCCCGTGGGAACCAGATTGCAGCCTTGGAGAAATTTTGGGAGGATGAGTCAATGAAGAAGACCGGGGTGGCAGCAATGAAGTCGCTGACGCACCACACTTTCGAGAATTTGAAGGAGAAGCTCCAGAGTGAGTGGAACAAGGGGTTCAAAGAGAGCACCTTGGTGATCTATTGGAGTCGCACAGCAGCCGGCTTGAAGTTGAAGAACGAGCCAGGCAACCCGCAGATCGCCTACTTTGGCTTCAAAGGCCGTGGCGCTTGGAACCACCGCATGACCGCCAGCTTTCTGGCAGCCTCTCTGCTGGCTGCTTGGCAGGTTTCCGTGTGACTAGGGAAGGGAGAGAGAGCAATATAGAAACCCATCAAGTTCTCAAAAGTCACCATTCTTGAATAGGTCATATCGGGTGAGACACCGACACTATGACAAATTCCAATCCCCATCCCTGTCAAGCCATTCCAAAGACATCATATGTCATAGTCATAGGATTTAATCATCAGCTGTCTGCTCAGGCTACTTGGATCGACAACTATGTGGAGGCATTCAAGAAGTTTGACCCCAAGGACCCAGACTGCGGCTTCCAGGAGCAGATGTCCAAGCTGAAGTTCAACATGAATGCAGCCATTGACGAGGTACAGGTTGACTGAGATGGCTGCATAGAATCAGCCCGTGCCGCTAAATCTTAGACGAATCAAACATTATAATTAATACTTTCTAGACTGAATGCACTCCACTGAAGGTACCATACTTGTTTCATAATGTCCTTTTTGCTAACCTACTGATCTCGTTGTTGCATTCCTCCAAGCGGAGCTGACCAGCACCCATCTTGATTTTGGAAGTTACAACTTCTTGGCTTTGAATCAAGCCTCTTTGCCATGCATTTCCACACGATATTTTGTGGGCATTGTGTGCACGTGCGTGGCAGCAATCCCATTATTTGCAGGGCATGGGAATGGGGTGAACCTCATGAGTCCCAAAGAAATCACGTGGTGATTGAAAATTCTGTGTTCGGGATCTGGGATTGGACCCACAAATTGGCAACATGTAACAATGCTATGCCATATGCAGATGTAATTCCATCTAATGTTTAATCAGATTGGGGATTAACTTTTATGGGTGTTAGCAAGGGGATCGAGGAGCACCATTCAGCATAGCCCAAGCTCGGATTTCAATAATTTTGCTATTTTGGGCCCACCCGATTTTCAACATCCAATTGAAATTCCCTTTGTGAGTTGTAAAGCATGTTGATGGGATTTTGTAAAGCAATGTAATGCAATGTAAAGCACAAACCCTGAAAAAAGTATCTGTCAAAAGTTTTTTGGCCCACTTCAACTTCTTTCGTCAGACCGATGCAGATCCCTGATTTGGTCTAAGTGACTGCGTCCTAGGTCAGACACGGATGCCTCGGCGGACGAACGCGAGGGCAGTCAAAGCGGGACTGTTTGACGATGGTGGTGTTGTCGCCATGTTTGAAGTAACCCCCATTATGCAAAAAGACTTGCACAGGTCAAGCCACAAGATTTTGATGGGAGGGTTTGAACAAATAGCACAACATTGAATAAACAATGCTTTTTTGATTTGGTGATGGTTGTACGGTAGGTGCCAATGAAAAACAAGAGTTCTCATGGATTAATGTGTCATTTCTTTTGTTCAATTGCAAGCTGAGCCACTGAGCCAACGCAGTCCAATGTCCACAAGTCAAAAAAAAGTGATTTCCTTAGAAGGGCAGCGGGCTGCTCAAGTCTTGGTTTGAAAACATGCAGCCGTTTTCTCAGCACACAGTCCAGCAACCACTTCAATTTACGGGATTCATGTGGGTGACCTGCACCTACTTACGGGTATTCAAGGAAAATGTGATCCACTTCATCGAGGACATTAGGTACTAGATGCTTTTGACATCTTTTAAAGCATATCTTATGTGGTACGTTTTCCCGTGACCTGTAAATTATCCAAGCTGGAATCGTGTGCCGGTGCGTCATGGCTCCACCAGTGAATATTGACCACCTTCTCTACCGGCTCAAGGCTTTTGGAGCGCCAAAGGCTTGGGGCTCGCAATTTCCTTTTATAGGATTAATGCAGGTTATGAAAAATAGCCGGGCCGAACAATGGTAACCAGGTATTTCAATTTCTATTGGGCGGGGTACAGTCCCAATCCTTTTTCGAAACATGTGGTTAATAGAGCATGCCTTGGGCAGGTGCTGCTTCTTGCAGTATTACTGGTCATATGGACCGATCCGGGCCTCAGTGCGGACCGCATCAGCCAGCAGGATTGGGTATGATAATAAAAAGCGAATCAAAAGATCTTAGCACAACTGCCATTGCAAAGTTTCATCTTTTTTCTCTTAGATGCTTTTTTCCCGCCAGGATGTCGCAGAGCCACCGTTCAAGTGGATTGAATTCTTTGCTGGAAAAGCGGAAGCGACAAACCAATTCCAAGTGGGTGGCTTCCATTCTGCAAAGCTAGATATCCTTTACATGCACGCGCAGCCGGGCAAGTTGAACCCCATGGATTTGACTTCGGAAGCCGGAATGGGGAATCTAAGATTGAATATGGTTCTGATGGGATATCCCAAAATGCTGATGTACATTATTACCAAGGATTTATGGGTTTCTCTTTTCTCGAGTAATTAGATTGTTTTCCCGACTTGTTGTCATTCAAATAGTACACCTTAATCGTGCCAAAAAGATCGGCAGCTGAGGACAGCTTTGGCTACAGTCCTTCGAGGAGATTGGGTAGAAGGCTTTCTATCTCACTTTGGATTGAAGTGCGCAAGTTGGACCACAATTAATTCAGGTACAAGTTCCCGAAGCCCTTGCAGTGCAATCGGGAATACTGAGTATCCAAGCGTTGTTTGTGCAAACCTCCTTACTTCACGGACCTTTGGTATGTATTCATGTCATGTTAGTATATATATATATATCCTTTTTCTTTGACTAAACCTCATTCACGGGTATAGTTGACAACAATAAATGGTTCATGTTTAATTGCCCTGGGGCCCTGTGTGGAAACATGTGAGGATGATTCTTATCATGATGGTGGTGGTGTGCCTGAATGGGTGCATCTTATTGGAGCAACCATCCAACTCTTTTGTGGAATATTATCCGAGATTTAGGGAGTTGATCCAACTTCTCCAAGCTTCCGGTGGACCCCATGCTGCTGCTCGATGTTGGCTGAGAACCATTTTCTCCTTAGCGTCATCACTGTGCCGTTCTGACTGTTTGATGGGGAAGGTGTGCTATATCCAAGCCATATCAAGCCCCTTAGTGAATGCATACTGTAGATGAAGATTAAGCCTAGTGTGATTAATGAGTCAGGGGACATGTTGCACGTACATGGGTCTAAGGTGCATCGCACAATGTGGTACATGTTCCACTACAACGGTCCGACACCCAAGCGCCATCTGGCGTTTGCCAACAGTTCAGCCATTGGAGGCCTGGACTGCGGCCCCTTAGTGGGGTGGAAGAAAATCAAAAAGGAACGGGAGGCCAAGGGGGAAGCACCGCCCCAACTGGTGCAGAAGTACCATGATAAACAAGGGAAGCTTCGCTATAAGGGTTTGCCAGCTCTTCGCTCCTCTGAGTGCCGACCTCATTTGATCTTTGTATGGCTGGGAGAAATTTTCTTGGACATAGTTGGACCACTATAGCTGTTTTGGCAAAAATCAATTCAGAACCACCCTTCAAAGTCAGAGCAAGTAATTGTAGGAAATAAATATAATTGGTTGGGTCCCCATTGCCGAGGCACTACCCTGCGGATTTCGGGAAGAAATTGGTCTCGATGTTTGCTGATCTTATCAAAAACAAGTCCGGGATGCCACGTCTTCCCAGCCCATGCCCATCAGCAGAGGCTACCTTTGCTAGCATGTCTTATGACGACAAATGGCATGACGCCAGCATGGTGGAAGTTTGCTTTTGGCTTCGGGGCGGGAAGGACCTACAGGTTCCCCCGTCATTCCGACCGCTTTTGCCCCACAGGCTTTAAGACTTCCGCTGCAGCCTTTACCTTGTCCAGTCCTAGGTGATATACCAAAACCATTTCAACCACTAGACCATCAATTTTGATTTTAAAAAAAATTTGCCAAGTTTGTGGTTTTCAGGACTGTTGGGCGCCACTATGAGGTTCTAACTGGATCTATCAACTTTTAAGCCAATTCAACCCGTATTTTGCCGTAACGCCCCGTAACGGCAAAATTACAATGTTTTTGTGAGAATTACTAGGTTTTTTTCAGAAACTAACCCGTAATTTACCGTAATCAACCCGTATTTTGACCCCGTAACCAACCCGTAATTTTCAACCCGTAATTTACCCGTAATCAACCCGTAAAATCCCGTAACCAACCCGTAAAATTTTATGGGTTAAAACCCAAAAAACATTGTTTTTTTGGGGTTCCCCAAGGTAGACTTTATGTAGGTTTTTGATGGACCAACATAGTTTTACCACATCCTTACCAAGAATCATCAAGGCTCAAACTTTCAGGAAGTTGCCAATTCGAGAAGATTTGCATTGCTGCCTAAGTTTTACTTGGCAGTTCCAATTCATGTTAATTCGACACAGCTTCGTTGAAGGAGTTCCCACGCTGAGATAGGTGAAAATAGAAACTTGCCAAACATTTCCAGGTTATAGAGAAGATAAAGTGCCGAAGTGCTTCGCATAGCATATCTGTTGGGCATGAACGTGCTTCTTTTGTTGATTTGTCAAAGCTTACTGATTGCATCTACTCCCACAGGATTTGGCTTATATACTAGCTTGTGGAAGCCGTAGCTGAAGGGATGGAGTTTGTGAAGGTCCCAAAGGCAAAGACTATGGTCTCCCGCCAATGGACCACCAGTGAGTTATTTGAGGGCCTTGCCCATGTCTTGACTGATGGTAAAGGCGAGCTGCCAGATGACATTGCCCAGTTGGAGGATTGGTGTTGCTGATCAACTGGATACCCTGGGCTGCGGGAAACTACACCAGAAAATGTTCGAAGTACACATACATTTTGTTAGCTGATACCCTTATATACCACTAGATGTGACCGTAAAAGGCTTGACCTCTATTCTGATAGGAGCTGGAAAAAACTTTGGCAGACCTGGCAGCCAAAGAAGCATCAGCCAGGTCCTCAGCCATCTATGTTTATAACAATATAGGCCACTATCGAACATATGCCAGCTATGTCGTACAATGATGTATGTTTGATCTTTACTTCCCCAGTCATAGATAGGTCTTCCAAATTCCAAGCCCTATGAACAACATGGTGCACGACCCGCCTAGGACAAAGCTTTGGCAGAACTGCGCCAACAGGTGACTTAGTTGAATTTTGTTTTACTAGGTTTTGTTAGGCAGAGTCGTTGGTTTGGATCTAATGTTTGCTGTTTGTTTTATAGCACGAACAAACACCTGATTCATGTCGATTGGGTTACCAAATGTTACTAACAAGATGGTCCTAAAATAAAGCTCTTCCTCAATCAGGGCAGGGACATGGTGACTGCTTCCCAGCTCAGGCGAGCCCTCAGAATGAGAACCAGGTGGATTTGACCGGAGACTCCCAAGACCAGGAGCAGCAGACCGTCCCAGCACAGGAGTCGGGATTGGCATGTGTCCGAGCAAGTCTCCCACCAAAGGATGTTGAACCAACTTCGGAGGGTGAACCAAAGTCAGTGGATCAAAAGAAACCTTCATCCCCAGCTCCCTCTTTGGCATCGTCTGTGCCCACTTCCAGTGCATCAGAGAATGACAAAGTACATCGGCTACTTCAATACTAGGTTTTCTTACCCTACAAATATTCAGTTCATGTTGGATACCAGGGGCCAAATCAAAAAACAAATCTTAAGACCAATGCAGCTTAACTAAGGTGACTCGCAGGATCATCGAGATGTTCTCAAAGGGACAGATCGAAGCATCTGTGGCTATGAAGTTGCTAGCAGACGGTTTTTCCCTACCGCCTGCAGTGGAACCAAGCACTGAAACCAGTGCTGCGGAGCCACACCAGGCCAACAAAAGGTCTCCTGACAGTGATGCCGAGGATGGACTTCCATCCAAGGTTGCCAGACCAGAACCTTTATCCAAATGAATGTTTGCATCAACTTTTTGGCTTTGATTTCTTTATTGCTGGAAGGCACGCCTGAGACGTTTATGTGAGGAAAAAGCCGGAGGAAAACTTCAGGTTCCCGAGTGGCTGCACCAGCAGTGGAAGACTCGGGATCACATGGAGATGGCACTCGAATATGAGAAATGTGGCTTTGACAAGGACCATTTTTTTAAAGCCACAGGGCCACAGGGTTCTAATATGGCCCTCTAATATGACCAAGGAACAGTAACAATATTGGTCAGCCTCTTGCATCCTCTAAGACCATCCAGCCATACCTGGCAGGAGCGCTTTGTCAAGTATGCCGAGAAGACCGTCACCACCATGGAGACCAACAAGAACAAGGTTGCCGAGGGGTGGTACTCGGAAGAGGATATGCGGATGGTTCTGAAGTGGAACAAGTACCTTCGCTATCAATCAGGGGTGCAAAATCCTTTTAGCAGTTGGTTTGGAAACGACATGAACCAATTATGTCATGTTTTCAGAGCGCTGCGTGGTCTAAGGAAGAAAATTGATGGAGCAGTCAAGATCTGCTTACAGGACAAGACACTGGTGAGGCCAGGGTCATCAAGTTAGTTCTCAATCTAACTGCAAATACGGGCCACCTGTCCATGAGCCGATCTTTCCAAAATGCTACACTTTTGTTGACCAGGAAATGCCGCTACGGAGGTGAGGATGAATATTGGGTGGAGACCCGTGAGACAGGAGAACGTGGCCAGGAACAAAACAAGAAACATGAAAGGAAGGAGATTTCTGAGGACCGAATATATAGTTTGATTCATCCTACCATTTTTTCATGGGCCAAGTTCTGTCGCTGTTGGTCTCCATAAATTCCATCCAGGACAAGAGTGAAACACCCATTGGCGATGTGAACATTGCCCGTTTGAAAGCTGCATCGATACGGTCCACTGCCCTCGCCAGCGAAGCTGCTGTAGCCACATCAGAGGTTTCCCATCTGAATTTGAACTGACAAAAAACAAGTGGTAAAGAAACATTCAGGGTGTCCTTCATTGGTAGCATCCCATACCTACCGCCCGGTTTGAGGCAATGAGGGCGAAGGATGTGTTCCGCAAATATTGCGATTCTGTTTTGCAGAAGACGGCAAAAGTTCGCTCCCTGGCGACCGATCTCAAGAAGAACTACCCAACTGATGAAACTGCTCAGAAGTCAGGTCCTTATAAGCCATTGTTTCCAAGTGATCGATAGTGACATTAATGTGATACTTGAAAACGAATCACCCCTACAGCACACGCCTGCCCATACCACGTACTGGCCTCCCAACAGATCTTAATGCACTCGCCACCGCCATCTCACCTTGAGGTCGGTGACTGCCTTGGAAGCTGACTTACAGAATCTTGACACCCAGTATAACAACCTGTCGACCGTCATGGCCAAGGGTGAGGAAATGGAGTTCAACACTGAGTACTTGGGATGCATGAGGAATAAAACACCACCAGCTACAAAAACTACCATTCCATAAGGTTTTTTTCCTTACCGAATCGTTTTCACTGTTTTCCTTTTTGATTCCGACCAATTTGCAATTTCCCCAGGTGGCAGTCCAACCATTCGGAGAAGGCCATGAAAGAATGCACTTTCATGTGCCTTGGATATATGATTTTTACATGTATACCACTCGTTGCAATACGATATGTTCATGACCACCGTTCATGGGTACCAGATGATGTTCACCCTCCCGTGGCATCAGCTCCACAAAGATTGCCCAGAATGAAGCGAAGATCAGGCAAAGAGTTTCCAACTGTAAACCAACTGTATTTTGCACATGTGGTCATTGATAGGGATATCAGGAGTAGTAGGGACTAGACTCATCAAAGCCAGTCAGGGGTCAGTCGTCCCACTTTGCCCCAGGAGCGCCAAGCGACATTTCACCAAGCCACCGAAGGAGGAAGTGTAATTTGCCACGAATCCTTGAGCGCTGAGGGGATTGATTTGCAATTTGGGTGATTGCGTTTGTCAACGCGACTTACACCTGTGTGCTTTCAGTTGCAAGGGCCACCAGCAGCCCCCAATTATGTTCCATGGTCCATATGGCATAGCCTGTGCTTGCTGCGGCAGTTCCCAAAAGTTACAACTTATGTTTCTTGAATACCTTTTTCACCAAAACCGATGGTCAAACTACCACCAAAGTCTTTTGGCTCATGTTAAAGGGATTGCTGCAGTCTGCAAGCTTCTGCAGGGCTATTTGCTGGAGACGAATCTTCAAAATCGGGTTGGGATCGACACCAGGGAAAACGTTTTATTGAAACTGCTTGCCTCGCCAATGGCACCTGCAAGTACTAAAGGTGAACCCCAAGACCGTCCTGCAGTGTAAAGACAATGTGTTAACCTGTCTCATTACCCTTTCAGCTTGCCAGGTCTTGGCCCAACAGCAAAGGCTCTGGCTGCGAATGTGGGGGAAGGAGTCCGAATCCCAGATTCAATCTCCGGGCTGAAAAATGCACGAAAATCAGAGTGTCAGGCAACCACTCTCCGGCCCCGTGGATGCTATCATGGCTCTTGATTTACGTATATAGAGCCCCAAAAATGCAGATATTAATCTACTTGTGGGTGCCAAGTAAGATTTGACTATAGCTATAGTTGGCTGCAACATGTGTTTTTGACGTTTAAATTAACATAAAGTGCAATACATGAAGGAAGTTCAACAGTCACCCAGACATCGTATGACATCGTTGCTGTACCAAGCTTCCGCCGCCATGGATGGTTCCACAAGTGCCAGACATGAACCCATTGTTCTCCTGAGCTGCCACCGATATGTTGCTTGGCTGTGGGGCTTCATGATGGGGCAGCATATGGAAAATTACTAGGCAGGTTTGTGGTGTCACGTATACTCCGTACTCGGCAACGATCCATGATTTTGTCACGCCCATCAGTAGTTGTGCCCGTCAGGTAGAAGCTGTGCCCGTCAGTTAGAAGTTGTGTATGTCAGATAGAAGTTGTGCCCCTCAATTAGAAGTTGCGCCCGTCAGGTAGAAGTTGTGCCCGTCAGTTAGAAGTTGTGCCCGTCAGTTGATTGTCATCGAATGAACATGATTATTTGGGGTTGGGGGCTGGGGGAGGCATCATGATGCTACGCTGTAGGATCTTCTCTGGCACTCGCACACACACACACCGTAGATATATACCTTTAAAAAATATGTATGTATTCCCAGGTCCGGTCACAGGATTAGGATACTTACATAAATAGATAGATCGATGTATATAATTATATGTAAACATTCCCAGGTCCGGTCACAGGACTAGGAGACTTGCATTATTAGAAAAATAGAAAGATCAATAGTTAATCAGATATATTTTAAAAAAATATGTATATATAGGTATACATTCCCAGGTCCGGTCACAGGGCTAGGAAATTTTCATAATTAAATAAATAAACAGATCGATATATATATATATAATATACACTCCCAGGTCCGGTCACAGGACTAGGATACCTACATAAATAGATACAACTAGAGACAAATTATATGTGTATATATACACTCCCAGGTCCGGTCACAGGATTAGGATACTTACATGTTACAGAATTAGATAAATAGAAAGATATATATATATAGATAAACATTCCCAGGTCCGGTCACAGGGCTAGGATACTTACAAAACTAAATACAAATAGGTAGATAGATCTATATATATATATATTATTATACACACACTCCCAGGTCCGGTCACAGGATTAGGATATAGCTAGATAGGTAGATAGGTAGATAGACTGAAAGATAGATAGATAGCTGTATAATATATATATAAATATAAATACATTCCCAGTTCCGGTCACAGGATTTGAATACTTACACAATTAGATAAGGACATATATGAAAAATGTATATATACATTCCCAGATCTGGTCACAGGACTAGGATACTTGCATAATTGATAGATAGAAAGAGAGAAAGAGATATGTATATATAAATATGCATGTTAATAAACATGTTTTCCATCTATCTATATTTAAATATATATAAAGAGAGAGAGGGAGAGAGAGAGAGAGAGATATATATATATAGATATGCATTCCCAGGTCCAGTCACAGGACTAGGATACTTACACACTCCCAGGTCCGGTCACAGGATTAGGATACTTACATAAATTTAAATAGATAGATCGATATATATATATAACTATATGTATAGATTCCCAGGTCCGGTCACGGGACTAGGATGCTTACATCATTAGATGAACAGAAAGATCAAAAGACAAAACGCATATATATATATATGATAATATATGTATGCATTCCCAGGTCCGGTCACAGGGCTAGGAAATTGTCATAATTAAATAAATAAACAGATCGATATATATATATATTATATATATATACACTCCCAGGTCCGGTCACAGGACTAGGATACCTACATAAATAGATACAAATAGAGACAAATATATGTGTATATATACATTCCCAGGTCCGGTCACAGGATTAGGATACTTACATGTTACAGAATTAGATAAATAGAAAGATTTATAGATAAACATTCCCAGGTCCGGTCACAGGGCTAGGATACTTACAAAACTAAATACAAATAGGTAGATAGATCTATATTTATATATATATACACACTCCTAGGTCCGGTCACAGGATTAGGATATAGATAGAAAGATAGATAGATAGATAGATAGGTAGGTAGATCATCTTAATCTTGACGCCAGGCATCGGCCCATGATTGTGATTAGCCATGATCAACCTATATATTGGGACATGTGTCCACTGAAAAACTCGAAAGAACGCATCTTCTTTTTGCAGCTGGGGATCTTTCCAAACGCACTGGAGACAGTGCATTCTTGGGGCAGCTATCATTGCCAAATATGACATGGCTCACATTGTGCCATGTGTGTGCGTGCGTGCCAGCTTTTGACTATACAGTTCATTGCAGCTCCAGTGTAAGTGTTTTTTCGTTCATGGGCAACTTCAGAACCTAGTATGGTTGTGCCCAAAGTCACACGGCCGCCCAAGGCGTTGCAGGGTGCCAAAGAAAGTGAAAGCTGGTGGTGACAGCGCTGGCTATGAATTTGCTGAGTCGGGACCATTTTGTTCTGAGAACCTCCAAATGTTCACCACCAATCCGGTGACAACTTCATGCGTGTATCACTGCTCAGTAATTAAGGTTTTGACTCTGACCGTTGTACATAGTGGCACCGCGCCAACCAAGAAATTTGTTGCCAGTGCTGGGACCTTCCAAGTCAGTTGTGTTCACAACACCGTTTCTCCCTGGACCTAAGGTTTGCCTTCAAACTTCTCAGTCCACATGCATACACACGTCGTATTGCCAACTCAGGAAAGTGTGAATCTGGAAGCCACATGTTTTTATTACCACTTGCTCCCATGTGTAAAATAGATCTACCTCGTTATATATAATCTAAACCTGCTCCCCATATATGATATTTCTTACAATATCTTTATACCGATCCGATCCGAGGCCACCTGCACTTCGCAAATCCGTACAGCAAAAGCTGTCTCTGCAGAGCTAGGGGCAGCAGCAGCAGCTAGCGGTGGAGTTCGGGCATGGGCGCGGATTCACCCAAAAAACAGTGAAAGAGATGTCCAAAAAGTTGTACAGAATCAGGGCACTAAATTAGACGTACCAATGTCTGAGTTCAATGCATGTGGTGAATCAATCCCGTGGATATCCCCACGTGATTGGCTCAAATTCATAGTGGATCGAGGTTTATGGCACAGGCTGGCTGGTTTGTCGGATGCTGATAGGCATTTGTCGCCTATGGTTTGGAAGCAATTCTGGGATCATTACAAGACTTTGAACCCTGATTTCAGCTTGTTCTCAATGGAGAATGTTGATTACGGCAACATGGCGGCCCTTTTTGTTCATGGAGATGAGGGGCGGATGCTGAAGAAGTCTGGTATAATGATTACTGCCCTACAGTCTGCCCTGGGTTTTGGCTTCGACACGAAGCGGATGAAAAGGGATCGCAATGGTTTGTTTGTGCTACGAGTGAACTATGTTGGCCACACCTATACAACGCGAATGGTCACCAGTGCCATACCAAAGCACTTGTATGAATCCAAACCAGAAGTTTTTTACGAAGCCATGGACGTTTTGAGTCAAGAGTTGCAAGACCTTCTCCTTGTTGGCGTCTTTGATCCTGTGACCAAGCAACACTACAAGGCATGTGTTATTGGGACCAAGGGAGACTGGCCATACCTTGCCAAAGTGGCGAAGTTTACTCGCACCTTCCAATCTGGTGCGAAGAAGGGAGGGACGAAAAGACATGGGAATGGAAAACCAACTGGTGGAATCTGCCACTTATGTCTTGCCGGCCAAGACGAGTTTCCCTATGAAGAAATCGCTACCCAATCGCCAAGATGGCTGAGAACAGTTGGAGTTTCAATGCCGTGGCACGAACCACCTGCCTTTATTGAAAGGCTTTGTCACGACCAAGCTGACCCAGCTTCTTTTTTTCATGGAGATCCTTGGCATGGTTTCCACTTAGGCATCGGCAAGGCCTTTGTGGCGAGTACAGTGCATCTTTGTTTACAAGTCATCCCAGCAAGGACGCTAGAGTTGAAATGGCCATGGTTGAGCGAGCATTACAAAAAATTTTGCAGAGAGAAGAAATTACAGCCACACATCACGAAGATCACACCTAATTTGATGTCTTACAATGACAAGACGGGTGTTAAGGGGTGTTGGTCGAAAGGAGCGCTTACGTCAAATTTCATGAGGTGGCTACCTTGCTTGCTTCGCGATCTACCAGCTGACAACGATGGCGTTCTGGAGAACTGTTATGATGCTGCAACCAAAATGAATTCGCTTTTTGGCTACCTCTTCAACAGTCCGCTCTTCCTGAATCGAGATGAAAGTTTGTACATTGCTCATTTGGGTTTCTCGCTCCTGAAAAGTTACTCTGAGCCCGCGAGATATTGCTTTGACGCGAAAAGGGGATGGCTGTATCCGCTATTTCCCAAGCTCCACAGTCTTCACCACATGATCATCAAGCTGCATGCGGACGCAAAGTCCTGTGGTATGAGCATGTCGCCTCTGGCCACGGCATGCCAACAAGACGAAGATTGCGTGGGACGGCTGGCAAGGGTCAGCCGACGTGTATCCCCACGTTTGACAATGTTACGGACTTTGCAGAGGTATTTGATTGGAGCCTACGATGTGTGGACCAAAGCCGGCCTGATCCACCCCTTGTGATGTTTAGATTGCAGACGGTTGCATGAAAAAATTACATGTTTTCCTGCGATTGCATTCCTGGGTAGGGGTTTCCACATGTTTCCACTTAAGTTATGGTTTTCAAAAAACCGTGTTTTTTTTGAAACACTGTTATTCGCGTAATATGAGGTAAATTATGGGTTACCCAGAAAAAAGCATGTTCTTGAGGGAGCAGGTATATATATATAATTATAATTATATAGTATATATATAATTATATGATAAAAACAACAGTATCAGTCTAGTATGATTGTTTGTGTGTGAGGCCATGTCATACTGCCCCCGGCTCCTGGTCTCGACACATGAGAACCTCTCCGTGCATGCTTCGCCGAAAGGTGAACCATCGCCTTGCAGCACACTGACTCTGGGCTGTCCAAACCTGTGCGGGTGTATCTCAGTATGTGATATATAATATATATTAAAATATGGTGTCAGATCCCCCAAGAGGAGAAGGGTGCTGCAAAGTCAAGAGGGACGCAGATGCACACTGCGTGAAACACTGCAGTGCAAGTGCGGCCACCACCTGCCACTCTGAAAGTGGACATCAGTGCATCATTAATTAGTGATTAGAAACCATCTCTGGCTGCACCATCAAACTTAAAATCAAACATGCTTTTATATATACATTTACTATTACATCCCCACCGCACCATTTCCTGTTCATCATCACCATCTCCTCCTCATCCCTCTTCTAACCATCAATCCGCTGAGTGCTCCACTCGTTCTGCCGCAGCATGTCCACCAGTTCTCCGTCCGTCGGCTCGCTCTGGGCACGGTGCTGGTGGTTTATGGTGGCTTGGCACTTTGCATCATTGCCCATCATCCCCATCATCCCTACCAAGAGTTTGCATCACTATAAGGTCTGTAATTCAAAATTCGAATATATTCGAATCATGTCCAGTCTTTGATTGTAAACAAATCATCAAACATATTCAAAAATCATAATGCCAACTCCTCACGGCACTAAGTGGTTGCACTCAAATGGTCTTTGGATTGTTTGTGAAATGCTGTGTTCATTTCTCACTGTCACCATTTGGGTGAATCACTGAAAATGTGGCCATTTGGGTATGTGACCCAAAATGTGACCCAAAAATCCAGCCGTTGATGTACCTTGGCCAATACATTTTCTTCACAACCCCACCCTTCGCGCTGCCTGCAGTTCCTGTGTGAAGATCACGCCTTGAAGGTTCTTTGGCAAACGTCGCAGGATGTCATGCCTGGACTGGGCGAGAAGAAATGAAAGACACAACGTAGTTCTTGTTCTCTCTTGCGTGTATGTGTGGCACATTCTTTGATACAAAGCCTAAACCATGACGTTTAACATCGTTAACTATGGCTTGTCATTGTTCGTATAGATCCATCACGCTCGCAACAGTGCCTAACTTTCGATCAGTTTGTATGGCACAGGTGCCCGGCGCCTACTCATGATGTAAATATCTGCAATTGGATCGCTCATGAGGCTGCAAGGAAAAACCTGGCAAGGCGTCATTGTAAGAGTCATGATCATCGACCATACAGCAGAAAACAAAGGATGGTGGCATCCCCCGGATGGAAAGTACGGACCTCACTCATTTATTCAACAGCAACCACCATGAACTCAACTTGCCCGGAAGATCCCGGAAGGGTCCCTTTCGTTAAAAGCTTTGGGAATTCGCAGGTCTTTTTCTCATCTATTATAATTTTCCAGACATCGTCACATCCGGAGCAAGATTCGTACCAAGACTACATGGATGCCAAACACAACGTCTAACAAATATTAACAAATCATGATTCAATACAAGGGCCCAACCCTGGCAAAAACTATGAACATTGTGAACAATTCTGTGCCACAAAACGTGGGTCCAGCCCGAAAGCAAACCTGACAAAACCCTTGACACCTGCGAGTTGCAAACTTCCTTGTCTCCAAAGTATTGGAATGCACCTCAGTGGATGGTTCAGTCAAGACTGCTGCAGCCAGCCTTTCGAACCTGGATGACTATGGTCTGGCTCCATGCGGCGTTCTGCACCAGTGTAAAAGCTTCACTCTCTGACCCGAATTGGCCCGAACCAAACAAACATGATCAAACAGGTACCACATATGCTAATATATCCTAACCTCAATCATAGGACCAACATGTGTGGCAAAAACACTGGGAAAAAAAAAAACAGTCCTATCAAGTGAGAGATCCAAAGTGCAACAGAGATGCTAACAGAGCCGACGCGGAGGAGCACCTTCTTCTTTTCCTGTAGGTATAGAGTCATACCCACCATACCCCCGCCACAACTAAGGTTGACAGCTCCATCCCCTGCCGTCGCTGCAGCATCAACTGCTGGACCCTCGCCTTTTTGGCCCTCTCCGCACTAGCCACGCCCTCAGCATGCGGGCCCTGCTGAAAGGTTTCTATCAGAGGATGCCACAGATTTGGGCTGAGTTCAAATCCGTGAACTTACCTACCAAATGATACAGCCTGTGGAATGGGGAGCAGTATCGTATATATTATATATACTATAATTATACTATAATTATCCTATACTATGCTGGTATCAAAAACTACGATACTATATATATATATAACATTCTATCATCTTCATCCATCTTCTACTTTTTGGGATGAAGCAGTTATATCAGTTATATCCGGATAAATTATAACAACTCACCAGCCTAACATAAGGCTCATGTTGGGTGACCGTTAACGTTATCGAGCACCATTTCGCTGATGTCGTGGTGATGTCGTGGTGGCATCTTGCAGCCCGTTGCACCAAGTGTCTGTAAGGGACTCCAGGACGCTCGCAGTCTTTGCCAGTACCGCAGCCTGCCCAGAGCGTAGCATTGTCCACAGAAGCTGGGCAAACAACTACAGCCAATCATTTCTGATGCCAACATAACCTTCTCCGACTTGTAAAGACGTCGTTTTAAAACAACATCATAGCAAAAAGGATACATCTGGATACCATATATATGTATATATTATATTATTATATTATATTATTATGTCGACACTCATCTGGTGACACAACACATGTTTCCAGGAGAACACGTGCATGTCATCATGTAAAGCATGTCAACTTTGAATATGTTTGTCCATTAATCTTAATGGCCAAAGAAAAAATCCACACATACGCAAATCTTCTAGATGTCAACGGATATGTTTGTGAATTGTCGGCCTGCTTCATTGTCGGAAGTCTTGTATACAAACACAAGCAGGAACAAGGTCAAATAAAACAATAATATATCCATACGCACCCATATACATGTATGTTGAGACATATGCATATACATATCACATATTAATACCCATATACCCATATGGCCCATATACGTGTATGTTGTTGTAGATATTTGCATTGTACATACACACAGTTACACACACATGAAACACATTGCATTACATATCCTAATCCTACAACACTTTCCATAATCTCCTTCAAAACCTGCATCTACGAGTATCCTACATATCGTTACATATCGTGACATATCCTACCATCGACGATTCCACACAGCGAGCCTGGTTGGTGGCATTGCGCACCTTGCCCCACAGGGCCTGGGAGGCGCACTGCGGAGCGTGCTTAGGGCTGCCCAGTTGGTTGGTAGCTGTTCTTTCCAACTCTTTCCAATTCATCATGGCGCACTGTGAGTTTAGTCACAGGGACCACAAGGAGCACAAGGAGCAAAAGGATCTTGAAATATCTCCAGCCTTGCCACCTTTGCCCCCTCCGCTTCCGATTTTTAGCGCTGGCCTTGTAGCCGGTGGAGGCTTCATGGCAAACAGCAAAACATGCGAAATCAAGGTGAAGGAATCGAGTGGAACACCCCCCCTACGGCCCTACATTCCTCATGTTCCAACCCGACAGAAACACCTGGGACACACATGGACGCACCAGCTCCTGATCCAACGATCCCCGTGCATCGTGGCTGGCCCTGATACTCTTGGTATATCTTGGTTAAATCTAACATCTTGTAACAATAATTCAAAATAAAAATGACAGTAAGAATAATGTTGATAATGATAAAACACAATAATAGTAGTGATAACAATAACAAGAACCAAAAAACAATAACAATAGTATTCACAAGAACCAAAACAATATCAATAATAACAATAATGAAACGAAAACAATAATCATAATAATGATGATAATGATTAAAAAACAAAAATGATAATAACAATACAAATCAAAACAATAACAATAATAACCGCGAGAACAAAAACAATTACAATAATAACAAAAACAATCAAAACCAGTAATAATTATAATGGTGATAATGTCAAAAATCAAAAATAATAACAATAATGAAAAAAACAATAAAACACAAAACAATAACAATATACAATAATCATGATAATGGTAGCAAAAACAGCAACAATAATGATGAGAAAAAATAGAAAAACACAATAATAATATACATAGTAAGACAATGACAATAATGAACAAGAAAACAAAAACAAAAATGTTTATGATGATAATGAAAAAACAATAACAATAACAATAATAATATAATATTAATTAACACGCTAACACTAACAGTAACAATAACAACAGTAACAATAACAAGAATAAACACAAAAGCAGCAACAATAACAATAATGATAAGAACAAAAATAACAGTAAAACCAACAATAATAACAACAAGACCAAAAACAATATTATGAAAACAAAACGCGAAACAGTATGATAATGATAACGGTAATACCAATAACAAACATGATAGCACTATATAATAAAAACAAAAATAACAAATAACAATAGTAATATAACAATAATAACAATAACAATAAAATATAGCAATAATTTATATATATATACATAGTATGCATATATAATATCATCTGCTGCAAAAAATCAGCTCCAGACTTCGGGGGAGCCGCTGGTGCCGGGGCAGCTCTTGGCGTTTCTTCCTTTGATTTCGCGGACTTTTGTGTCGATTGGGTCAGCCTCAGGTGAAGCCACGCCGGCCCAAGGCAGTGCTGCGTTTCGCTGTTGGAAAATTGTAAACAGAGTGCCCCGCGCGAATCTTTCAAAGGGATGGAGCAATAATGACACGTCCTATCTATTTTGGAACTCAGAATGGGACAACAGAATCCCCTCTCTGGACTGTGGCAATTGGGACATGTCTGTCCGAGGACAAAGTACTGTAGATGCACACTTTGCAAACAATGATTAAAAGATCCCCGGAGCCATCTTATATGATCTGATACATACCCTTTCACCTGCAATGTATGATGTCATGGCTCAGGACATGCCATCACCATGGATCGGCAAATTCACCCGCGCTCTCACGTCGCAAGTATCTGTAAGGTTCGAACGCCGACTTAACATCTTGGGACTTCGCATCTTCCGAAGTCCTGAGTTGCATTGCATTGCAGGTCTACCATGTCAGTTTGTCATGGCCTTGATAAATCTGAAACATATTAAAAACACATGTCGTAAAAAAAATGAAAACAGAAGATGAACGCTTGTTGATGCTGCGTTTGCATGTTATAGTTTCACCGCTCCACAATCCAAGGATCAATCAAGGCTTGTAATCAGCAATAACAGGAAACCTCTCCCAAGCGCCGATCTTTGGGATTCCAGGCGAATCAGATGATTCAGCATCCTCAAGGTTCACATAAGATTTCCTGCAAGCAATCTTGAACCATTCGGACCCTTCTGCTTTGGATAGAGTTTTTTCCTCCCACGCTGCTAGGTGCTGAGTGTAAAGGTGTTGGCACAAACGCTGTTGTGCATGTGTATTTTTGATATGTGCGAAGGAAATTTAGACGGGGTCCGGAACTGTTTTTTTTTAAATTTTCTTTTCTGTCCATTTTCCTTGCCATTTGAAACATTTTGGAGCTGGAAACTGCCATTTCAACGGTATTTGCACCATTTTTGAGTTCGAACCTCCCTTTTTCCTTGGAATTTGCAACATTTGGGTACTATTTGCAACATTTTGGAGCTGGAAACTGCCATTTCAACAGTGTATTTGCACCATTTTTGAGTTCGAACCTCTCTTTTCCCCTGGAATTTGCAACATTTTGGTACTATTTGCAACATTTTGGAGCTGGAAACTGCCATTTCAACAGTGTATTTGCAGCATTTTTGAAAATTTGCAACACTTCGGTGCTCAAACTGCTCATGTAACATGCTAGTTGGCAACTGGGTTCATGTCGGGTTGGTTTTAGGATTAGCGTTTTTTTATTTGTTTTTTTTGGTTAGGGTTGGTTTGAAGTTTTTTTCAGCGTTGGATTTAAAATTAGGGTTTGTTTAGGACCTGTTTAGGGTTGGCTTAAGGTTTGTTTAGGATCAATTAGGGTTGGTTTAATGCTTATTTAGGCTTGGTTTTACATCTATTTAGGATCTATTTAGGGATTTAGGATTTAATTAGATTTGGTAGATGATTTATCTGGATTTGGTTTAGGACGATTTAAAGTTAAAACCCTATAAGGTTTAAAGTGTTTAATGTTGGCTTAGGATCTATTTAGGCCTGGTTCAAGATCTATTTAGGGTTGGTGTAAGCTTTGTGTAGGCTTGGTTGAACATCTATTTGGGGTTGTTTTAGGACCTATTTAGGGTTGGTATGGGTTGGTTTTCGGTTTTTTTCAGGTTTGGTTTAAGATCTATTTAGGGTTGATTTAGGGTTGGTTTCAGGGTTTATTTAGGTTTCGTTTAAGATCTATTTAGATTTGGTGTAGGATTAGGGTTGGTTTTAGGGTGAATTTGGGTTTGGTTAAGGTCTATTTAGGGTTTAGGATCTATTTAAGATTGGTTTAGTTTTTTTTTAGGTGGTTTTATGTAGGTTTGTTCTAAGATCTATGTATGTTGGTTTGGGATTTTTTTAACGGTTGGTTTTGGTTGTTATTTAGGCTTGGTTCACGATCTACCTGGGGTTGGTTTAGGACCTTAGGGTTGGCTTAAGGTTGGTTTAGCGTTGGTTTAGGATTTGTTTATGCCTGGTTTAAGATCTTTTTAGGGTTCGTGTGAAATTTATAAATTTTAGGCTTGCATTCACATATATTTGGGATAGGTTCAATTTCTATTTGGTTTAGGGTTTACCTAGGATTAGTTTCAAATTAGTTCAAAATGCTTAAGGTTTATTTAGAGTTGCTTTAATGTTTTTGTTGGTTGGCTTGGGGTTTCTTTAGGGTTGATCTAGGGTTTATGTACTATATCATGCTTCTTAGGGTTGATCTACAGTTTGAGGGGGAAAAAAACAGGGAAAAGCAGAGAAGCAGAAAAGCAGGTAAGCAGGGAAAGGCAGAAAGCAGAGAAGCTGGAAAAGCAGAAAAGCAGGGAAAGGCAGAAAATCAAAGAAGCAGAGAAGCAAAGAAGCAGAGAAGCAGAAAAGCAGAACAGGAGAAAAGAAGAAATCAAAGAAGCAGAAAAGCAGGAAAACACAGAAAAGCAGAAAAGCAGAGAAGCGGGCCAGCAGGGAAAAGCAGAGAAGCAAAGAAGCAGAAAAGCAGAAATCAAAGAAGCAGAAAAGCAGGAAAACACAGAAAAGCAGAAAAGCAGAGAAGCGGGCCAGCAGGGAAAAGCAGAGAAGCAAAGAAGCAAAGAAGCAGGGAAAGCAGAAAAGCAGAGAAGCTGGGAACCAGAAATCGCAAAAAAAACACAAAACGGAAAGAACACCTAAATAAACAGTTTTCCATTTGGAAGTCAAACTTCCGACTTATGGACAGATGCAGCAACAGTGGGGAGAGCAGTCAGAGAAGAGAAAGGCTCACAAGAGAAAGAAAAGGATAGAAAAGGTAGAAAAGGCGCGAAACGCTCCGGAAAGGGGAAAAGTCGGCTTGCTGGGTGCGGAGCCATCTGGTCGCATGAGAGATCAAAAAAATCACGCAGCTGTCGTGCGAAGCAGATTTCGAAGTCAAAATATGAAAAACACCTCAGGTTTGGAGCACTTCTGGACTATGGGACGTCGAAAAAAAAGCATGCCGTTGGAGCACTTTTGGAAGTTGAGCTGTTAAAAAGTACACGCCGTTGTGGTGCGAAGCACATTTTGAAGTCAACATGTTGCAAACACTGCAGGTTCGGAACACTTTTGTCAGTCGAGATGTTGAAAAAATGGACGTCGCTTTGGAGCGAAGCACATGCAAAAGTCAAAATATATGTAATAAAGTCAAAAAAAATACAAAACACACCAGTCTCGAACCACTTTTGGAAGTTCAGCTGTTGAAAAAATGCACGCCGCTGTAGCGCGAAGCACATTTTAAAGTCAAGATGGTAAAAACACCAAATGTTCTCGGCACTTTTGGACGTTCAAGCATTATCATAAATACTTCATTATTTTACGAGGCAGGCGCTACGGTATGGATTTTGTACGTTCAGAAAAGTGAGCCAAACGCGTTGGTTTTGCAGCAGTGTCAAAAACGATGGCAGTCCTGGGATCTGCAAAGATGCATTTCGGCTGGCAGGCGCAGTACAAGAGCCAGATCCACCAGACATGGGGTTGCTTTTTGGAGTATCAGATCTTCAGGTTTGCTAAGATGATTTTGTGTGACAGCGCGGCACTTCGCATGACCTGGCCGCACTTTTTCGTAGCAAGGAGTACTTTAGAGAGATGGGACGGAAAAATCGCAAAACGCGTTGGTACAAGCCATCAGCTCTGCACTCAACTTTCCATTTTTGCAGGAAGGTCGAGAAAGAGAGCGAAAGAGAGACAGGGAGATAGATAGATACGCAGATAGATAGATACATACATGCATAGAAAGATAGATAGATCGATAGATGGATAGATGATGATAGATGCACAGAAGGAGAAATGCAGAGAGAGAAAAAGAGAGAGAGAGAGAGAGACAAACAGACAGACAGGCAGACAGACAGACAAACAGGCAGACATACAGACAGACAGACAGACAGACAGGCAGACACACAAACAGACAGACAGGCAAACAGACAGACAAGAACAAATAGATAGATAGATAGATAGATAGATAGATAGATAGATATATAGATAGATAGATAGATCGATGGATGGATAGATAGATATATAGATGGATAGACAGACAGACAAACAGGCAGGACGACAGACAGATACCTAGGGAGATAGGTAGACAGATACAGAGATAAATGGATGGATAGATAGATAAATGCGTAGATAGATAGATAGGTAGTAGGTAGATATAATTATAGATAGTCAGAGAGAGAGACAGGGAGAGAGACAGGGAGAAGGAGGCAGAGAAAAAGAGAGAGAGAGAGAGAGACTCAGAGCCTCAACCACCTGTCGATTCGTAAGTGGGTTCGCTCTTATATATATACAAGCCGTTCGTGAAAGAAAGGTGCCACGATCTACCCCTCAAAACCATAAAGTCGTTGTCTATGGTGGGGCTGCTGAAAAGAGATATTCCTCACATCCATGCTCTCTCCACCACAGCTGTCCTTCCAAAAACTTGAGCGGTAAAAGCGGCTGCTTCCTTGAGAGAATTCCTGGCGCAGTGGTGAGCAGCCGCAAGTCGAGTCCACAGCAGTCTGGAAACCTTGATGGTAGAGCTTGAGTGAAGATGAATGAGCCAAGCACAGCCCAATGCCACTCAATGTCACTCTCCCACACACACACACATTCATCATGCTGAACTGGCGCGCCGCCAGTGGCAAAACAAAATAAATCAAAATAAAGTCAAGCTTACCTACATGTCTGGACAGCTCAAAAGTGAACAAGTGGACCCGCACATTTGTCATTCTAACGATTCTAACTATTGTTTTTTTCACCTATTATTTGTTCTGGGATCAAGCATTTTGAACCATATACCATTCGGATTGTTTTCTCCCGGCTCCTTCGCTTTGAAAAGGTCTCCTTGACCCGATTGTCGCGCTCCTGTCTCTTCATCTCCATGATGGCCTGATGCAGCCAGGGCCATGCCCCGGAAAACAAATTCCGTGGTCCGGAGTCCATCCTTGCCCTTTCAAATGGAACTCATTATAACTTATTCAACAATCCGCCGCGCAGTTTATCCTTTTTCTTGAAAATCAGTATAGCTTTCAATCATCTTTTGATGAAATATCGTAAAACGGTGAAGAGTTCAGTGATGTTGCTTGTGTTTCAGCCCCTGGGTTGCACAACTTGATCCTGGCCTTCGCCAGCTTGGCGGCATCCATCGTCTGCCTGACCTGCCAGGGGGGCAGATGAAGGGCTGAGTGGATGAAAAAACGTGGATGACCAATGATAAATGATGACCAGTGCATGTATGATACAATTGATATATATATATATATACAAATTGGGCCCATGAAAATCAGCAAAGCTCAAGCAAGCTCTGCGACCTCTGTAGCTACCCTTGCATGTACAACACCGGACCTCTGGTCGCACCCAGTCTTTGCTGCTCCTGGGTGCTGACGCACTTAGTGCAACTTCTCTAAAAGTTGAAACTGCAAGCCTCATACCCAACCTTTATCAAGTCCAACTTCACCTTAGATATAGAAAACACCATAGGCTACAGGGCCAGGTTCTTTGAGTGACTTCGATCAAGATTCTGCTTTCATCTGCTTTCCTTCCCAAACCCACATTTGGCCCTTCTGTAACTCTCATACCCAGCAATCGTGCACCTCTTCTCCACCACCGTGGCTCGTTGTCTACGAGACCTTTTTGGCACAAGAGTTGATAGTTGATAGAACGTGACCCGAAATGACCTGAATGTATGCCGGAGGAACTTTCAAACCGCAAGGGCTGCGGGTGATAGACGTGGCTGGCTTCCCCTCCTGCCATGATGAAATTTACATGGGCCAGGCGGCCAGTCTGAGCTTCAAGCTCTTTGCCATCCACTTCAACTAACTTCAGCCTTAGGCAATTGCGATGAAGACAGCGTGTCGAGTGGAAAGTATGCCAACCATGCTCAAAAAGTGAACACCAACAGGGCAAATCATAGTGAAAGGATGTGAAAGGTACTAAATGCATCTGACTGGCGCTAACTAGAGGGCATCAACTCATTAACGATGAAGTATCACTCACAAATCTATGCTGTAATCAAACTTCACTGTTCGAGCTTGGAGTACCCCAGGTGCAGCTCTCCTTCCCAAAAGGCGCTCCAGTTGTCGAACAGGAGTACTCGCTTCAAACTTATCGGAATCCCATGTCTTCAAAACCATCCGAAAAAAAAACATACCCTGAAGGAGGATGGAGCGTGTTTTGATAGCACAAAGGAGATCCAAACCATGATCAATGAATAATGAATGAGTGATACTGATAAAAACTTCAGGCAACCAGGCAATCAAGACCAATCAATAAAATACATAGCTGCACGGAGGTGGCATCTTGCACATCTTGGCAAGTCTGGGCAGGTCTGGGCACCAAGCATTGCCAATGAACCCGACCGAACGAAGATCACACTTTGGACCTCGTCGCCCTGGCTGTGGAATAACTTGTTGACACATGCTAGAGGAACCGGCCTGGGCTAGTCGAAAGCAAGGAGCAAACAGCAAGGAGCAGACAGGGATGCTGCACCTGTCGGACAACTACTTGATTGCCATTTAAGCTCTTCTCGTTCAAGTAGTTCGCCATTGCTGCCAGGTCAGCTGGATTTACGATGCCTTGCAGGCACATGTGCAGTGAACCTTGAAAGGTCCACCAATCTAGGGCACAGGATCAAGCTGTTTACAAAAACTGATGAAACATATGCAAACCATCCAGACGGTGGACTGCAGCGCCCAAGCTGCAAATGAATGGCCCAACGGTTGAAGTGACCAGTGGTGAGCTTCGGTCATCTGGGAAAAGTCATCCGATTCCACTGGGCTGAGTGCAACCCTTATCCTCAAGAGGATCTGAAAGACTACTGTAAGGCAGTGAATGCACAGCCGCTTCTTTTTCCCCTTGCAAAATCATCACACATACTGTTCCTAGTCTTAGATGCAGTTTCAGGCTTTCCCAGACCTCCGTTTACCCGACATCTCATTATTCTCATTGGGGTAGACGGAAAAAATGTAGACTATACAAAAACTGGGTAAAAAAAAACGGAAAAAAAACAAAGAAATCTAAAACTGAAACACACTGGAATAAAATCATAAACAGGTGCCTTGTTGGAGCGCTTGCAGAATCAATGGACATTGCCTGGAGAGGCAAATTGGTGCTGGAAATGGGAGTCGATCAAACCTTCCAGAAGATGTCAACAATGCAAAACATACACCTGGCCACATCTGGCTTCGTTGCATGGTGTTCCCCCACTGGCCAAATAGGGCACAACGGGCACAATTTCTTAGTTGATTAAGTTGTACTGAGCTCCTGGAAGAGTCCGATCGTTTCAGCATGGCCGGCATTGGGCCGGCATCTTGCAATATTCCGCCGGAATCCGGCCTCAAGAAGTTCACCCTTTGCTCAATGAAGCGCCTCAGCTCTTGCCACGATATTGTTCACATGTTGGGCTGCGAAAATCTGAACATTCTGAACTCCCCCGTGTTGCACAGCATCATGGTTTTTTAAGTCTCAGAAATCGTTCTTTTTCATTCTTTTTCTATATGTCTACTCTTTAAAACAAGCCTTAACTGGTGGCTGGAGTGTGTCTCTTCCAGTGGAAGTATGCAGTGGAGTTTTCGCCAAGAATGAACTGCTTCAAGTGATGAGCTCCACGCCCCAGAATAATCGGGTATCTGAATTGTCTGAATTCAGCACATTTCTTTAGACACTATAGACGGTGTTGAGGCCCCAGCTTGTGAAGCTTCCCTGCCTAGCAAGCCAAAGGGATGAGATGAGAGATGAGCGAAGTACCCTTTGTACCACATAACATGTACCTTTCTGCTGGCGGAACAGAAGATCGATGGGGCACTTAGACTTATAGAATAATCAGTCGCGGCAGTTCAGCCACATGCACATGCAAGTCAAGATCATCAAAAAAACCAACGCCGCACGCAAACACTTGAGATTGCTTCTGAGGAGGCAGTCAGCATGAAAATCTGATGTATTATATATATATATAAAAAACATAGTGGCCCCCCAGTGCGCCAACAAGGCCCCCCAAAGCAAGAGCACACTGGACATTTTAATCTTTTTACAGAACTTTGGAACCGGAAGCTGCACCTTCTTTGAAAAAATATTGCACATTCTGACACGTTGCTGTTGAAACTCTCACTGAGGAATGAATGGGAAGTGGTTCGCACCGAATGCAACGCCCTGGGTGAAGGCACCACCAACTGCCAGCATGGCCAATCTTCCATTTTTAAGCTCCTTCATCTTCATGCTCTCCATGCCCTCAGCAGAGGAAGGAGCAAAACCTCGTAAGCCAAGGTCTCCCGCATTCTCAGTGGTCAATTTCTCAAAGGCCAAACCGAGCTGCTTGAATCGGACAGACTCAATGGCACCCACTGCACACATCAGCCACCACATAGGTCCCTCGCCAAGGCCAGGGCCAATCAGCTTGTTGTGGGCGTTGATGAAGTCAAGGCTAGAATCGGTCAAAGGCTCAATTGGCAGGCGAATTGCGTCAGGAACAATCAAGCCAACAAAGGCCAGCATAGCTACGCGTCCATGCTTCAACTCAGCTTCACGGAACCAAGCCAGGTTCTCAGGGAATTTCTCGGCCAAGCCCAGTGGGTCGAACTGGTACTCACCCCATCCATGAAGCTTGCTGCCAGCAATTCCTCCTGCAAAGGTCTTCTCAGCCCGGCGGCCGACTCGGCTGGCGCGTTGAGCAACTCCAGCAGCCACGGCGCCGGCACCGACCAAAGGCAGCATAGCAGAGCCATATCCACTAGTTGGAGTGGCCGCACTCTGTGCTCCTCGCAGTCCCTTCACCACGTCATGGTGGCCCACCTGGGAAGATTGGCCAACAAAGCCCAGGCCGGCCACTGCGCATGCGCCAGCACCAAGGGCGATGGCGCGGAGTGGGAGCTGCTTCCTCTCTGCCATTGCTTCTGATGTGGTCTGAGCACTTGAGGAGCAACCCTGCGGTCAAGAATGCTTCCTCTTGACAAGAATTATAGTTTTTGTTTGAAAGGGTCGGCCCTTGCGAAAGGATCAGATTGAGGAAGTCCTTCTTGCATTCGCAGCTATATATGTATAGAGAGAGAGAGAGAGAGACTGAGGCTCTCTGAAGTGAATTCAGCGTGATTCAGCTAGTGGGGACAATAGATAGAGGTGTATTACTCTGCTAGAATTCCAGCTTGAGGGTTCTGGCATCATTGTGCTGATTTATCCTGCTGCCCCCATGCTGATGCTCACACAACGACAGCAATGAACATCACAATACCACAAAATAGGAAGCTGCACTTCGCAACCAATATGTGCAACGGTGACAGCCACAAAACATGTGTTTAATTGAGGCCAAAGAAAAAAAACAAACAATGCAACTTACAGGCGATAGGAGGGCAAAGGTTCAGACTCTTAGACTGCTGTTCTCGAATTCGCTGGTGCAAGAAATTCTGCCTTTGAAATCCTTTGCATGCCTTTGCTCTTTTTTTGATCTCCAGTGACCTCTCCAAAGCGGTTGGGCACTGCCAAAAAAAAAGGCTCCTCTCAATGTGTCGGCCATCTTAATCTCACTAAACTCACTGAGGAATGAATGGGAAGTGGTTCGCACCGAATGCGATGCCCTGGGTGAGGGCACCACCAACTGCCAGCATGGCCAATCTTCCATTCTTAAGCTCCTTCATCTTCATGCTCTCCATGCCCTCAGCAGAGGAAGGGGCAAAACCTCTTAAGCCAAGGTCTCCCGCATTCTCAGTGGTCAATTTCTCAAAGGCCAAACCGAGCTGCTTGAATCGGACAGACTCAATGGCACCCACTGCACACATCAGCCACCACATAGGTCCCTCGCCAAGGCCAGGGCCAATCAGCTTGTTGTGGGCGTTGATGAAGTCAAGGCTAGAATCGGTCAAAGGCTCAATTGGCAGGCGAATTGCGTCAGGAACAATCAAGCCAACAAAGGCCAGCATAGCTACGCGTCCATGCTTCAACTCAGCTTCACGGAACCAAGCCAGGTTCTCAGGGAATTTCTCGGCCAAGCCCAGCGGGTCGAACTGGTACTCACCCCATCCATGAAGCTTGCTGCCAGCAATTCCTCCTGCAAAGGTCTTCTCAGCCCGGCGGCCGACTCGGCTGGTGCGTTGAGCAACTCCAGCAGCCACGGCGCCGGCACCGACCA